TGACGCGTATGCCGTCTGGAGAGAGCATTGGCGTTAGCGTGTTTCCTTCCGGGTCGGTGCTGGCACTCGAAGTCGTAGGCTTGCAACTACTCTTGCGACCTTGAGACTTGCTTTTCTGGCTCCTTGAACGTTTGTAGCCACTTAGGTGACTGATGGTCCGTTCGAAAAATGAATCGTCTACCTAAAAGTAGGTGTTTCAACTGCTTCTCATACGTCACTAAGGCAATCATCTCCTTCCATGTAGTACAGTAATTTCGTTCCGGCTTGCTCAGGCAACGGATGGCGTAGGCAATCACGTGCTCTTTTTGGTCCGAACCGATCTGTGACAGGACCGCATCAATCCCCGTATCACTTGCATCCGTGTCTAAAATGAAGGGCCCTGCGTTGATTGTCGCGTCAGGAAAACTGGGGATTGGTGACTGGATCAATCAAGTTTTCAATTCTTCGAATGGCAACTGGCATTCAACACTCCACAAAAGCTTCCTGCCGTTCTCCGCTAATCGATGAAGCGGAAACGCTATCTTCGCGTATCCTTTAACGAATCGACGGTAGTAGGAGGTAAGCTTCAAGAAGTGTCGAACCTCTAATACGTATGAGGGTACCGGCCAGGTAGCTATTGCTTCAGTCTTCTCTGGGTAATTTCGGATGCCGTCTCCACCAATTACATACCCCAGGCATTTGACCTCGCTACATAGAATTTCACATTTCTAGGGTTTCAGTCGCAGTCCTGCTCCTGGCATTATCCAACTGCTCATCTAGGGTGCGCCTGTGCCCAATGACGTCATCCAAATAAACCAAACACCTTTGTGGTACCAACTCGCCCAGAAAGATATCCATCAATCGCCGACAGGTAGCCGGTGCGTTGGATAGACTAAATAATTCTTTTTGAAACTCAGAAGTTCCAGAAGGGATGCAGAACGCCATGTTCTCTTTGTCATCCGGGTGCATCTCCACTTGCCAATATCCGAAGGCCAGATCCGGGTGCTGAAGTATTTCGCACCCCCCCCCCCCGCCAGAGCTTCCAGGGTATCATCGATACGTGGTAACGGGAGCCCATGTCTGCGTGTAACGTGATTCAGTTTTCGGTAATCTACACCAAGTCGTATCGCTCCTGTTTTCTTCTTCACTATGACCACTGGAGACGTCCATGGTAATCAGGACGGTTAATTGATCTCTTCCTCCAGCATCTCTTGGGTTGACCTTCCCAACTCAGCTCGATACTGCTGACTGGGGTGTTGTCGTACGGGTGGTGCCCCTTGTTAATGCGATGTTAGATGATCTTGGTTCTGCCCGGAGGAACGCCCTCCCATGCGAAAGCAGCTTGGTGTTTGATCAATAATGCATGTATGCGATTCATCTGTTGTTATGGGATTAACGGTTCGGTGCGACACCGAAGCCTGGATACTTGGGACTGCAGTTCTGCAGGGTGCACCTCCAGTACCCAATCGGGTCCTCCCTCAGCGTGTTCTCTTAGGGATACTCGTTCCCCTCCGAGTATCAGTGCGTCCTGGCTAACGTCAATTCTGCATTGGAAAGCCCAAAGGAAATCTATTTCCAAAATCAGATTGTACGGAATTTCTGGGTAGACTACCATTGG